AAAAAAAAAAAAAAAAAAAAATTCCTTCAGAAATATAGTTTGATTTGTAACCCATGAGCCCATTTGGCTAGTTCTTGGTATTAAAGAATGTGATATTTAGCCCCTGGCCAGTGTGGCTCAGTTGGTTGGAGCACCGTCCTGAACACTAAAAGGTGGAGGGTTTGATTCCCAGTCAGGGCACGTGTGGGAGGCACCCAATCAATGTTTGTCTCTGTCTCCCTCCCTCTCCCTTCCTCTCTCTAAAAATCAATGAAAAAAGAAAAGAAAATGGACCTTAGTTTTTTGAAAAAAAGAAAATGGTATTTCAAAGTTCTTAAAATACCCACCTTACCGACAGAGATCACCAGTATTTGTTTTCCTCCTTTACAGCAATCCTTTATGTAGCCAATGCTGCATATCAGGAGAACTTTCATTACAGCTCAAAGCAGAGCAGCTGATAAAATACCTGACTTCCCCCTCTGATTTCACCTCCTGTCAAGATGATCACTAAGCAGATGGATCGTCTGCACTTTATACTGAACAAAGTGGAAGAGCTGTTTGGTGCAGGGGAAGAACGTGAAGAGACGGTGACAAAAAGTCCCTGCCAGGCAGCGTACTTCAGAAAGTCCAGGAAAGTAGTCCGGCATCTTCTGCCGACCAGAAAAACTAATAGGAGACCTCATGAGTGATGATTTTGTGGGGAAGGGAACCCTAACAATAGCATTCTGACTAGACAATTAGAAATAAGCCTAAATACAAGTTCTACAGAGAAACTTGGGTGGCTCTGCAAGGGCCTTATGAGAAGCTCAGACTCTATCAAGGGGCACGAAAAGGGCGTGTCATTCGCAGTGACAGAGACGGGCATGTAAGAGGGAACTGTGAGCCTGACGAGGAAGGCTCTGAAGCCCAGAAGCCCACTGCTTAGGAAAATGCTGAAGATAACAAAGGGCAGTGGTGGTGAAGCTCCCCCAATTTCTTAGTTCTACGTTTACAAGAACTTAGAAAGGGCCATGGTTTTGGATAGGAGGTGTAATGTCAAAAGAGAAAGAGCAATTCTATTCTATCCCCATGAGGCTCCTGCCTTCTTTACCGAGGGTGATACCTTTCAAACTTGATAGGTAATGTTTACCAGAGTTAAAGCCTGAGATAAAGGACAGTGAATCAGCACTTGACTCCATTAAATGATACCCATTCGTCAGGCCCAGTGATGGAAGAACCTGAGATGCACTGAATTTTAGAATTAGAAAAGATATCCTTGATTGACGTGATTCAAGATTCCCCTTGAAGCCCACAGGAGCCATGTGATTTTCAAAAGTTGGAGAGTTGCTCGGGTGGGCTAACGCCTGGTTCTAGCTCAGGCTGCCGATGAAGCTTATGGGTGTGTTTGCAGGACAACTGAGCATCGCTTATGATGCATCAGGAGTACAGGGGCAATGGAAGATCAGTGATGCCCCAGGGTGCCGAAGAATGGAAAAAGGGAAAAAGGGAAAAAGGGAAAATTCTTAAGTGGACAATTCAATGGATTCTTTGTCAAGATTTAGAGGTTCTAGTTTTTCAATCAATTGGCTTTGTATTTTTCCTCAGAGCTGAATTAAAGAATATTGGCAAACTGAATACTATCTATCTGTATCATTTAAAATTATTGCAAAAGTTATACAAGGATCTATATCTATACTATATTTATATCTATATATAAAATGTTGACACATCTTGTGAACCTGTTAGAAGTTGATGGAAAAAAAGGTGACTATGGAGCCTTGACAATAACCATTGATATTTTGTGTTAAATAACATTCTGCTGATACTACAGTGAATTTCTTCAAATAGTACTACTTGAGCATTTATAATGAATAGTTGCTAAATCAAGTTTAACTAATCTGCTTTAAATATTTCTTCCCTTTTTATAAAACAAAACAAAAAAAACACTGTCAGACTAGTGTTCTGTAGTGGTCCATAATCAGAAATGATACAATTTATTGGAAATAAAACGTGGTCACTCACATTTATTCCACGTTACACAGTACTTCAAAATGTTTACTTTTACTCTCCCGAATAACAAATGAACCATTCAGAGTTCCTACATAACTTGTCCTAATGAATGCTAATAACATACGTTATAACATTCTAGAGAGAGAAGTGCATTTCTTATTTGTCAGAAATATTATCCTGTCAGATTAGGTATGCATGATTGCATTCACTTGATTTTTCTGGCCACATGTTTGATTTTTGGAGTTATTTCTGAAACCTTGGGAACTGATCTAATGCCAATGCTGGGACTTGCAATTCCTCACAAAAAGTTCCTTATAAAAGGAGTCATATTAAGAAGTCATGGAAAACAAGTAAATCCCACTCTGTATATCACCATGCATTTTCTTTATCTTAATAATTATCACCTTGCTGACCGGTCACGAGATAACTAGTGTCTGCACTTACATTAATTAAGTAATTTTAAACACCAGGCTGACCAGTTACGGAGGAAAAGTAGCTGGCGCATGATCGAGTTCTGGCTTGAAATAGCCGGTCAGCAAGGTGTTTTAAGTTACATCCTGTGAGTCTTCGGGGAATTCTACTGCAATGACAGATCATGCTTTTTTGGCATTCATTTCAGTTTTTGGCAAACAAAGTGGGTATTTTGTCTTAAGTGTATGCAAGCTTCCATAGAGACAAACATACCATGAAGGGAAGGCCAAGATAATGCTCTTGGTCTTTTAGGGGCCACGGAAATACCATGAGTGAAGAAGACTAGTTACAGAAACCTACTAAACCGAGTTAGCATCCAATGTCACTTGTGTTCTTTCAAACAAATCACTGACCCATTTGCAGCACAGCTCTCTGTTAAGAGTGCACTTCTGCCTTTTGAAATGTGTCCTGGGGCCAAGTCCAAGGGCCAGAGAGGAGCCAGGAGCAAGGGTATTTGCTCAAGACCAATGTCAGCAAGGAAGAAGAATCCTGGTGACTCAGCAGACTCTCGAGCTCTCATTTCTCAGGGGAGGACTTAATGTACTGGGTTCTTTTTGTTCCAGAGAATACTATTTCCAAATAGCATTTTCTTCCTATAAAATATAGCTCTGTAAAATATCGGGCAAGAAACCAACATAATATTTGAAGGTAGGGGTTTCTAAACGTTTTTGCAAGCTATGAAGATCTCATATGGTGGAATTTTTGGATAGCGAACTCTGAAGACTGAATTGAGATGTGACATCTATTTCGGTATTTGAGATGTGTAACCGGCCTCAGCAACAGTTGTACTTTTCCCTACCTGCATTGTGCTTTGCCAAATATTTGTCTTTGTACTGCTTCTTTTTCTTGCCAAACCAAGTACAGCTGGCCTGCTGCTCCTGTTTGGTCTTCTCCATGGCGATGCAAGCTACTCGCCTAGCATACAAAGAAAGAGAAAAAACCTAATGTATGGTTTTATGTTGATACAAGAGAAAAATTACCCATTTGAGTTTACATGAACCTGCACGAGCACACTCCTCACACATTTTTCAAGGCATTCAGATAAAGCTTGTTCTTTGGCTTTCATGACAATTTCCTAGAAATGTCTTAAAAACACAGGCTTATAATAAAATGGCATTGTGTTCCTTGAGCACATACTAACTGATAACACAGATGAGAAGCCTAAACATATGGTCATGACATACAGTGGAAAGAGCATGGGATTTTGAGTTGATACAGATCTGGTTTGACTATCACTTACTAGCTTTTATTAATTTAGTGTTAGATGCTTTTCTGGGAAATTTACATGTATTAACTTGTTCAATCTTTTAAAACACACAAAATTGCATCACTGCTTCACAGATGAGGGGCTTGAAGGACTGAGAGATGAAATAATTTGCCCCAGCCCGGCCGGGCATGGCTCAGCAGTTGAGCATCGACCTGGGATCCAGGAGATGGCGGTTTGATTCCCAGTCAGGGCACATGCCTGGGTTGTGGGTTCGATCCCCAGTAGGGGGCGTGCAGGAGGCAGCTGATCAATGATGACTCTCTCATCATTGATGCTTCTATCTCTCTCTTCCTCTCCCTTCCTCTCTGTGTGAAATCAATAAAAATATATTAAAAAAATAATTTGCCCCAAATCACACAGTTAATAAGTGGGAGGAGGACAGTCTGGCACCAGAGCTCATGCTCTTAGCCAGTACATTCTTTTGGCAAGTTCCTTAACCTTTTAGAGCCTTTTGGATGGATTAGAACAAATAATGCTAACAATGTCCCTAGCACAGTGGCAGGCACAGTAGATGCTTAATAAATGGTACTATTACTATATGGCGATTCTAGTCTAAGGTAGAAAAAAAAATAATGCTACAATTAAATCCACAGTTAGAATTACAACCAGAAAATTATAATTTTGTTCTACATGATTATAATATTCACCATTTGTAACATATGCACAAATGTTAAAAATTAAAAAGTTGCTCTCTAAGCAAATAATTGTGTGATATTTCCATAGAAGGTTTTGCTTACTTAATTATTTTGCTTACAGATCAACTAGGGGTCCCCGAGTGAGCCACATATAAGGAGAACCCAAAATCACTATCAGAATGCCATAAAATGTTATTAAAAACAAGTTATTTTCCAATGAGGATGTACTGATTTACACTCCCACCAGCTTCTGTATGAGAGTTCCTATTGTTCCACTTTCTTGACAACACTTGGCATTGTCAGTCTTTAATTTTTAGCCATCATGGTGGGCAAGTAATGGAATAAGTGTGTTTTGAGTATGCATTTCACTGATTATTAATGAGATTGAGCACCTTCTCATGTTTACTGACTATTGGCTTTCTTCTTTTGTAAAGTGCCTGTTCAAGTCTTTCCTATAGAACTGTGTCGTTTTGTTTTTTTGGTTTTTTTTGCAATTGAGTGGACCTATTTATTTATTTATTAATCCTCACCTGAGCATATTTTTCCCATTGCTTTTCAGAGAGAGTGGAAGGGAGAGAAACATCGAGGTGAGATAGACATATCGATTGGTTGCCTTCTGCATGCGTCCCAACTGGGGACTGAAACTGCAACTGCCCTTGGCTGGAATCAAACGTGGGACCCTTTAGGTCTGAGGGCTGGTGCCCTAACCACTGAGCCAAACTGGCAGGGAGAGTTGCCTGTTTTTTTGATTTGTAGGAATTCTTTATATGGCCTGGATATTACACCTTTGTTAGTTATACATATTGCAGATATCTTCTTCTACTTTGTGGCTTGCCTTTTTATTGTATCTTTTGATAAATATAACTTATTAGTTCTAATTGAGTCAAATTTAGCAATCTTTTCTTTTATAGAAAGTATTTAAAAAAATGTTTTTATTGATTTCAGAGAGAGAAAGGGAGAGGGAGAGATAGAAACATCAATGATGAGAGAAAAATCATTGATCAGCTGCCTCCTGCATGCCCCCTACTGGGGATTGAGCCTGAATCCCAGGCACATGCCCTGACTGGAATCAAACCATGACCTCCAGGCTCATGGGTCAATCCTCAACCACTGAGCCACACCAGTGGGGATATGGGAGGTATTTTTGATATCTTATTTAAGAAATCTTTCTTTGTCCCTTAAATTATACTCCAATATTACCTTCTCAAGGGTTTACAGTTTTGTCTTTCACATTTTAGTTTTCAATATCCTAGAACTGATTTTTGTGCATGGTGAAGTTAGGGGTTATCTTTCTTGTTTCCCCCAACTCTCATGGATACCCAATTTCCCAGCATGACTTATAGAAAAGCTTATTCATTCCTCACTAGTGACTCTTTATGTATGAGAGTATTTTGAGGTTCTCTCTAATTGGTCTATTGGAGCATCTCTATTCTCGTAACTTATTAACTTAATCACTATAGCTTTATAAGTTTTGGTATCAGGTGGAGTAAGACCGCCCTTCTTCTTGGCTATTCCTGATATTGTGAATTTCCATGAAAACTTTAAAGTTAGCCTATCAGTTTCAAAATGTTTGGGATTTTGGTTGGAATTACATTGAATCTATGATTCAATCGGAGAGGAATAGACTCATTTTTACAATATGAGTCTTCTAGTCCATGAATATAGCATGTCTCTCCACTTATTTAGGTCTTTTTAAAAAAAAAAATATCTTTATTGATTTCAGGGAGAGGAAAGGAGAGGGAGAAAGACAGAAACATCAATGATGACAGAGTCATTGATCAAGCCCACAACCCAGGCATGTGCCCGGACCAGGAATCGCACCCCGATCGCCTGGATCCTAGGTCGACGCTCAACCGCTGAGCCACGCCCGGCCAGACTATTTAGGTCTTCAATGTCTCAATAAATTTTATAATTTATCCTGTAAATGTCTTGATTATCTTTGTTAGATTTGTTCCTAGGTTGTGCATTTAAAAGAAGGGTTTTATAAATGGTATTTAAAAAATTTTTGTAATATTGAAAATTTTAAACATACACAAGAGTAGAGAATAATGAACCCTAAATACCTAAAATCCAGCTTCAACACTTATTAACTCATAGATTATTTTGTTTTATTTACAACCTACCCACCCCAGATTCTTTTGAAACAAATCAAAGTTTGTATTATTTCCTCCTTAAATATTCTTAAATTTCCTTTAAATCTATAGGTTCCCTCTCTTCTTTTTCTTCTTGCAAGTTATTTATTACAGAAACTGGTTATCTGTCCTGTAGTTTCCAAGTCTAGATTTTTCTGACTTCATCTCTGTGGAGTAAGTCCCTCTGCCTTTTGCATTTCCTGCAAATAGGTAATTAGATCAAGAGGCCTGATCAAATTTAAGTTCTATATTTTTTGCAAGAATACTTTATAGTATTATGGTTTTGCAGGTGGTGTTACGTATGGTATATTAAAATTTTTGTTTTCTGTTTGTTGCTGGTAAATAGAAATATAATTGTTTTTTGTATATTGACTTTATATCAGCCATCTTGTTAAACTCTCGTATTAAGTCTAATTATTTATCTATAGATTCCTTTGAATTTCTACATAATCATATCACTTGCAATATTTTTTCCCTTTTCCAGTAATGTTTGTTGTAGGTTTATTGTGGATACTCTCAATCAGGTTAAGGAAGTTCCCTTCAATTCACAATTTGTGAGAGTTTTAATCACGAGTGGGTGTTGAATGTTATCAAATGCTTTTTTTGCATCTATTGATAGGTGGATTTTCTTCTTTAGTCCATTAATATGGAGGGTTGGGTTGACTGGTTTTCAAATGTTAACCATCCATGCATTCCCAGTACAAACTCCACTGGGTAAAAATGTATTATCCTGCCCGGCCGGGTGTGGCTCAGCAGTTGAGTGTCGGCCTATGATCCAGGAGATCGCAGTTCGATTCCCAGTCAGGGCACATGCCTGGGTTGCGGGTTCGATCCCTAGTCGGGGACATGCAGGAGGCAGCCGATCAGCGACTCTCTCATCATTGATGTTTCTATCTCTCTCTCCCTCTCCCTTCCTCTCTCTGAAATCAATAAAGATATATTTTAAAAAATGTATTATCCTTTTAATATATTGATGGATTCAGTTTGCTAATATTTTGCTGAGAATTTTTACATTTATGTTCACGAGGGATGTTGGTCTGTAGTTTTCTTTTCTTGAATTGCCTTTACTGAATTTTGGTATTAGGGGATGCTGGCATCATGAGATGAGCTGGGAAATGTTCTCCTGTTTTCTTGAAGAGAATGTCCTTCATGTCTTGTTGTTAATTGAGGGCTTTATTTTTATTTCTTTCTTTATTTTAGGTTAGGAGAAACACATTTCTTGGGAAATACTGTGAGCTCTCAGCAACAGCATCAAAGTCAATCTCCACAAATTATCTAAGTGGAATACAGAGGCGGCTGATGAAGCTTTTCCTTTGGGGATTCTTCCAGTACGAGCCAGTATGTGCTGTTGGCCATAACTTCAGCTTCTGTGAGGCATAGAATCTTTGGAAACATAAACAGAACTGAGGGATTTTTTGACAGGTTAAAAGAGACAAAATCCTGACCTTGTGAAGTTTATGTTATAGTATACAGAGTATCTTATAATAAATGTTTTTAAGCTTAAAAAATAAAAACGAAAAGGTCTCGGTAAAAATTTGTGGTGTGGCCACATGTGGTATAGTGACAGGGCAATAAAATAGATTTTTACCAGCCACTCAGGAAATGAATGCTATTTTTTTTTTTCCCAGCTCAATAAGTGGAGGGAAACTGTGTTAGGGTTTAGGTCAACCTGGGGGGAAATTTCAAACAAGTTTAACGGGTTATTGCTGAGGCAAGGAAAGGGATGACAGATTCAGGGACTCATATCAAAGGAACAGAATGATGAGCCTTGTCAAGCAAGATGAAATTTAACAAGGATAAATAAGGTAAACATCTGGGTACAAAAAATGGATCTCTCACCTATAGTGTGTGAAAAATGTCAGACGGTAGCAACGTTATTTGAACAAAGCTTCCAGGCCTGGCTGAGAGTATTGTTTCAAATCCTTCTTGCTAATATTGCATGTCTACCGAGATTCTAGAGACCAGTTCAGTTTTCCAACAAGGGACTCTGCTCTTTCCCCTCAGCCGGGAATGCCTTCCTGCACCTACAAAGTCCTACTCAGGTCTGAAGGCACATACGATACTGCCCAGTGGGCCTCTTCCTCATGATCCCAGTTAGAATCCCTTTCTCCTCTACAGTTCTTGCAACTTGATTGAGTTATGGTTTTATTTTTATTTTTTTTTTGGTAATGAACTGGATATATTTAAAGTGTACAATTTTATCAATTTTGACATATCCCAGGAAACCATCACTACAATCAAAATAACAAACATTTTCATCACCCCAGGAATTTCCTTATGCTCTATAATCCCTCTCTCCTTCCTCTGGTACTCCAGGCAACCACTGCGCCTATAGATTAGTTTTGCATTTTCTGCAGTTTCATGTAAATGGAATCACACAGCTCGTTCTCTTTTTTGACTGGAAACTCAGATTATGATTTTGAGTTTCATCCCTATTGTTTTGCGAATCAATAGTTCATTCTTTTAAACAGCTTAACAGCATCCCATTGTATGGATATGCCATCATTTGTTTATCCATTTACCCGTTGATGAAAACTTTAAAAAATTTAAGCCATTCTAATAGGTGTGTGGCCACTGAGTTTTGTTGCTATATTTTTTTTTCATGGAAGTTTCTTTTGGTTCTTTTTCAAATCTTCTATGCCATTAAAAATTTTTCCTGTTCTCCGAAGATATTTTTAAAGCTTATTATTGATTTTTAAAAACCTGCTAAAAAGGACAGTTGTTTAAAAAACTTTGTCCAATATATGAACTGAGTTTGGGTCTGTTTCTATAGTCATTTCAGTTGGGACTCTTTGTGTGCCTGGTTATTTCCACTTGCTGGTCATTGCCCTTGAAAAAGTTTATGTGGGTGATTAGGAGGAGCTCTAAGATGAGGCCCAAGATAAATGTGTTCTTGTGAGGCTATCCTTTTGTTTCTAACAGATACTTGGAACTATTAGCAAAGGGGAAACCTCAAATCAAGTGTATGGTTGGAGTCTCCCTGGCTGTCCCAGGCTGCGTGTCCCTGGCTGTAAATCTATTCAAGGTGGACAGAGGGCCACACTTTTTTGTTCTCCTTTTACTGTTGTATTTTGCTTTGCTCCATGACAAAGCAGCTTTCTCCACGGTCCCCTGGTGTTGATGGGCTGTAAGGGCATGCTTTCCTGCCTTCTCTTACCCTGGGGCAGGGCCTTCTGCAGATCTAACAATGGGGAAAGGGTCTCCTAACAGATTCCTTGACTTATATGCGCCTTGGGTCTTAACCTTGGTTCTCTGGCAGAGAAGTTTTCAGTAAGAGAAATGCCCTCCTGGCAAAATGGGCCAATTTGGTACTTTAATTTTTATTGCTTTGATTGATGGCTTTTATAGAAAAATTGGTCACTGAGTTCCCCACTACCTTTTCAGCTACTCAATGCTTTTAAGGTAATTTTCAAAAGCGTATTTTCTACAGCACTTTTCTTTTTTTCAGCAGAACTGACTCAAATAACCTAGTCTACCATTACAGGGAGCAAACTTGCTTTCTCCACTGTCATCTCTCAGGATTGCTCCAGAGGATCTGGAGTTCTAGGTATTGAGGAAACATGATTTATACAAATGATCTGACTAGGCAGAAGAGGTCTGGAATCTACATAGTTATTTCCAGTGAATGCTCATAGTATATGGTAACATTCAACAATATATTTTCTAAAACATAAATATTGGTAATAATATAACAACATCATCATCATCAAAAGGACTCCTCCTGCTAATGCTTGAACTGTTTCTTGAAGATCAAAATGAAAGACAATCCTAAGTGGAAGGCTGCTACTTCCTCTACCGGGGCCTACAAATCCTCCTGTAAAGTGATGGCATCTGAGGTTCTTATCAGCTCTAACATTCTAAATGTGAGAATATTTTTAGAAAACATGGGATAACTGAAAGAGGCAATCAAATGAGAGTGATTAACTGAGAAATCCCTTTAATTAGTGAGAAAAATACGTGAAAAAGGAGTTATAAATATCTATGAGCTCAATGCCTTTTGTTTCTTTTATAGGTTCAAGTATTGTGGGAGGAACGGGCACAATGCCTAATGGTTATTTTTTGTCACATGAAACCAAACTGAGACATAAAATTATCACTTTTGCATCAGATTTCTGGTAGATTGTCAAAGGACCGACAAAGGTAAAACCGTCAACATTATTCAAAAAATAGTTCAGCTAAGCAAATTGTAACAATAATAGCAGGAATAGACAAGATATATAGTAATCTGTGACTCCTCTCAGTTAAAACTAGTGTCTGAAAACAGTCTGACTTTAACCTGCTTTCAAAGCTCAAGCTGTCTAACAGACACGAATCTAAAGGCCGGCATGGTAAAGAACAGAGCGCCTGACCGCCGTTTCCCTGTAACAGTGAAACACGCTTTACCTTCAAATACCCCGAGTGACTCTGAATCGGGGCGTTTGATTTTTCTGCTGGTGGTGAAGAGGAATAGGGGTGGTGAGAGAGTGCGGAGGGGCAAGGAGAGGGACATTACAAAATGCAATTCTAACAGGACTGAAAGAGCATATAGGAGGGGAGGGCTCTGCAAAGAGACCACGATGTGACAGGGACCCAAGGCCACCCACCCAGCCTCTCTCTAGACCCTCCTCTCCTGCTATGTGAAAAAGATCTCACTGTATAAGCAGGAGGTCACTAGATGCTGAGGATTTAGAATTCTTAGACGATTAACTTGAATTTTGTTTGGCTAGTAGAGCAAGGAATAGATAAAACAGATTTTACACTATAAAACAATGATATAAAATTGAAAACGAACGGGCAGGGTTTTGTTCTTATTATACAACAAAGCAAAACAACAAAAACATACCATTCCTGAAGTTCAGGAGAAGGAATGAGACCTGCGGTTCCATTTTTGGAGTTTTCCAGTTTACCCTGCCACCAATTGTGATCATCCTTACTAATAATCTGGATAATGTCACCAACTCTGAATCGAATGCCAGCTTCCTTGCAGGGGATGAGGTCATCCTTGGCTGGGTCATATTCAAATTGTGCTCTTACATAGATCTATAAAACAGGAGTTTGTAAGAAAGGATGCCATGGTGATGGGAAAGAAAACAGTGCTAACCAAATAAGCACATACCAACACTTACAATACAAACAGGACACTAGATGGTGAAAACGAAAATGATGCATGGAAATATAACACAAAAAAGTGCTACCACTAGAAACAACGTACTACTTTTGACGTGTCCGGGTTTATATCTCTGCTGTTTTCATTTGGAGGGAACACTTAAGATGCTTGTTTACTGAAACTAAAGACATAATTTCAGCTTTTACTATAACAGAATAGGCCTATAATTATTAGAGATGTATGCTTACCATTTTAAAATCTGCATATGTTTAGCTGAAGTTACAGATTAGTTGTCATGATCACGTGGCAGCCTCTAAGCCATAAACACAAGCACTCGGGGTAGGTTTTAGATGTAAAGCAGCACATGGTACAAAACTAGCAAGAACACTGTGTTGGTATCTTGCTGTAAAATGCCTACATGACAACTGGCAGTGTGTCTACACATTGCTGATAAACTCGGATGTAATTCAAACAACTTGAAAAGGCATTTAAAAATGGTTTTATTTTTGAGAAAGCATTTAGGCTTTATATTTGTATTTTACTCTTAAAGAGAAACGAATGTGAGTCCTAGCTTTGCCAACGGAATGCTTGAAGTCAGCAGAGTTCAAGGCTTTGAGTTTTAGGATATGTAAATGTAATTATTAATATTATAAAAGGAAACAGACTAGCATATTAGGGGTTATCATGTGGCATTTTATGAATTACTGGATTTCTAAATGCTTTAAAGTAAGGTGCTAGGCATATAATGCTGCATCACTTACGCAGTCCTAATGCTAAACTGGGCGAATTCCATCAAGTGCTAACTTACGCAAATCTGACCTCTAAATCTGATTATTTTTTAATACCACATTTCAAGGAAAAGCCCATAAAATTCTATCTCTTGAAATTAAATTCGAATACTAATGTTCAAGTCACTGTAAAACCAACCTGAAGGCTTTGGAACTATTGTGTAATTATTCTATTTAAGTTTCTTTTCAGAAATCCAGCCTACAAAATTAACAAGTCTCTGCATTTGCACCTAAAATCCATACTCTGAAGGAGCTGGCACACCGAAGCTTACTTGCCAGTGTTAGGCGGTGCTTAACGTTTCATGTTTGACCAAGAGAGGCACACAAGGACGTGAAGCCAGGACATTTATGTCCTTATTTTTCATTGTGAACAGCTTTTAGAAATATACATGCAAATGCAAATTTAGAAAAAGCCTTCAAATTTCAGAAAATTATTGCTTAAGAATGTTCATTAACATGTACATTCTAGTTATTCTTAGAATTCTAAGAATTTTGTAACCTTTAAAATTTTTTTCCACCCCAGCCAGAGCCTCAAAAGGCTGAATTATTATTAATCACTGACACAATTATCAGGTTGAAATTACAATAACCATCATAGCTACAAGGATGTGAGGGAAAAATCTTTATAGAGAATTAGTCATGTTTAATGTGTTAAAATGAAATGGTACAAGCTCTCAATGCTCAAATGTTATGGTCCAAAATGCAGACATTATGGGATGGAAAGGGTTAATAAAGGATCGGCTATTAGCAGCTCAGTTTAGAGAAGTTTCTAGAGAGGATATCTATTCACCTGTCGTCCTTTTGGTTGGGTGGTTGATGGCAAGTCCTGTAGAATAAAGCCAACCCAGGAGAAAAATTTTCATTTACTTTTCAAGAGTACAAGATAATTGTGTGTTCTGTTACAATATGGTTAAAAAAATGAGCTAGATTTAAGTTGTAAAGAGATAATATACATTATTCCATTTCTCAGAAATGTTGAATTATCAGAAAAAAAATCAGACCCAGGCCATTTAGCAGCAAGCTGAAGAAAGCAGGTAAGTTTAAGCAGAGAGAAAATGTGTTCTTAAGAAACAACTCAGCATCTTCAACACAAAAGCCACTGCAAGTGAAACAGCCCTATTTAAAAAAACACCCAAACCAAAAAGAGCTGTTGCCCTTTTCAACTTAGTCACTGCAACCATTTATATTTTGAAAAATTTGATGGCTATATGGATTTTCACCATCTTAAAAGTATTAAATGTTAATGTTATAATGAATTCCTTTATAGCCTATTTGAAGTTGAAAATAAAAGTAATAGGAATTTTCTTCCATCATTTCACTTACTGATACCATTCCATTTGAGATGATCTCTAAGTTATTTAAAGTTTTACCTGATAACAAAGTTGATATATTTTTATTTAATTTATTATTTTTTGCAAAAAGTTGATATATTTTTAAAGGGCAAATTAATAGAAAAAAGTGATACTGCTGCATTATTAGAACTTGCAATAATTTTAACAGCAATACCAGCAACTTAGAGAAGATTTTGTTACCCCCAAATATTGCATGCTTGCACATGTAAGTGCTTTCATTTGTTTAAATAAGCTAAAACCAGTTCTTTTTCTATTTCAAAATAGATAGTTCTGAAAAAAAGTAAAATTCCAAGTTCAAGTGAAAACATAAAGTACTTTGTGTTAAAGATGTGATAACAGCGTGGTTTAAGTGCAGTTTGAAGCCAGTTCCTTTTGCTTTTCATATCCAGGCAAGGTTTATAATTCACAAAAATATGTGCACGTACCACAAAAACAGAGGGCACACCAATTCGTAAACTTAGATAGCGGAAACTAAGACATGTTGCTGATATCACTCAGAATAGACAACTACAAAGCCCAAGAAGACCCAAATGCCTACTCTGCAAAATCTGTACATTTCTTTCTCTTTCTCAGATTAAAAAAATATTTAGAAATTTCAACGAATTTCCATTTGTATCCTTTGCATAAGTTCGAGCAAAGTCATAAATGCTAGTGAGGTGACATGGAAATATTCTGAGAGTGACCAAAGCAGTCTTGAACTACGTTTCTTCAAATTTAACTAATGGAAGGGATTTTTATTGAGAAGAAAATGTTGCAAGAGATTTTCCAGGAGTAAACTGCATTGTAGCTGTAGTAGCCTCGTATATCGGCAGAAGACAATATTTCCACTGAACACATGTAACTAGAACACTCATGGCAGGTGGCACCAACAAAATCGTCACACTTTGCCGTGTGAAGCTAGAGTTCTTACCGAAACAGAATTGTTAGTGCTGCTATGACCATTAGCTGGGGACTGTCTGGAAGTGGAAGGGGAATCTCTCTGAAATAAGACACAAGGTTCATTAACACAGAAACCAGCACAGAAACAGATATTCACATTAACAGTTACAACCACAGTCTGACAACCATTTCCTTTGAGGTTTTAGCTGCAAAGGTGCCATGCCGACTTAGTTGCATGATTTTACAGAAGAAAAAAACCTTGCAGTTTAAGATTTATATACGGTAAGTGATGACAGTGTCATTCATCAGCCGTTTCTTTCCTGTCTCCAACATTTTCTAACCTTTGCTTTCTTTAAATGAGACCCAGAAGACTGATTTGATATTAAAATCCTGTCTAGTGCTGTAAAATGACAAATATTACTATAAAATCATTATGCTGAAGATCCCAACTGCTTAATTTTTATTAAAAATTAGGTTTAAAGTCCGGCTGGACGTGGCTCAGTGGATGAGCATCGACCTGGGATCCAGGAGATTGCGGTTCGATGCCCGGGTTGCGGGCTCGATCCCCAGCAGGGCGTGCAGGAGGCAGCTGATCAATGACTCTCTCATCATTGATGTTTCTATCTCTCTCCCTCTGCCTTCCTCTCCCTGAAATCAATAAAGATATATATTTTTTAAAAAAATTAGGTTTAAAAAGCATTTAGTAATTTTTTTGGTACCTCAATGTCAAAAATTACTGAATGACTCCATTTGAAGTGAAACTAACCTTCACTTTGAAAAAGACTTCTCATGTTGGAATCACCTTGGGATCTTGCTAGGACAAATATTACAAATAAGGGTAAAAAACAGATATATACTAGAGAAGAAACCTTTATTCTTTAGCAGTTTGATTAAAACAATAATCTTGAGCCTCTGAAAATATTACACTTCTGGCAAAGATCCCAGGAGCCACATCCCTAGACCCTCAACTGCACTCTCTATACTATTCGACAGACTCAAACTCCTCTCCAGGCTCCATTCCCTTATTGTCCAAGTCAATTTTAACGATAAGACCAAGGAGAGGAAGAAAAGTAAGTGTTTAAAAACTTTTTGTTTAGTAGAGTTCTTTGAAACCTTTGAAATGTGCAAGCCTGCTCAAAAGACATGCCTCCAACCCTCACCCCAGAAGATTTAAAGAAAACTTCTGGAACTTGTTAGTCTTTTAAATAATGGGATCCCTTAGATGAACCTTCTCAAATGTCAGTGAGCAGACTGATCTCTAGGTACCACCCCCAGAGACTTCAGTGAGTAGACCAGGGTGAGGGGCAGGAGCCCCCTCTTTTATCAAGGGCCAGGGGGATGCTGATGCTGGTAGCCAGAGAGCCTTCCTTTGCAAAGTACTGCCCTAGCCGGGAAAAGTCCAGCCGCAGGCTTGAATTCTGCCAGAGCACAGGAGGTCAAACAGGTCGGGAGTGGGGCTGGGAGAGGATATCCTTTTTCTTACTATTCAGAGGTAAAGAAGGTAAGAGGGAGGCTCTTCTTACTCGAGAGTGTAGAATTTACATGCTTAATACTGATCCCACCCCAAAACGATTTCAACCACTTAAAAAACATAAGAGAAACTTATGTTATATTAATAACTAATAGTACCTTCTGCTTAGTTAGCGAAAAGGGGGCCAAAATCATTATGTTTATTAAATTTCTTCAATAATGATGAATCTGTGATTTTAGAATATTCAAATGCTTTACATAAAATGTATGTGTGACATTCTCTTTTTCCCAGCAAGGCTAGTGTCCTAGGTTACAAATTTCAAAACTACAAACCCTGGAGCAGAAATAGTTATGCATTTTCTTTGAAAACATAGTATTAATTGAAGTTCCATAAAAAGCCACCAAGAGGAGCTCAAGACCTGATATAAACAGAAACCCCAATTGTCATGGCTCTCTAAAGATATACTTGACAAAACTACAAATCCTTATGCATATCTTCAAAAGGTTTAGAGAAACACAGGAAACCTCTGATTCTTCTTGTGAAATTTATAGCATTGCTAGAGAATGGAAGAAGCATTATAATTTTTCCTTCAACTTCTCAGTACAGATTCAATTTTCTAGATGAGTTCCAATAAGTTACCTGTCAGTCTTAAAAATTATGTGTAGGAAATGTGCACTTCCTACTGATGTACACATACTTGGAAGATGCACATGAAGGAACAGGCTTCAAAAATAATACTCCAGCTGAATGTGCAATGACCGAAGGATGATACCATTCATGCCAGTTTGTATTTCCAAATATAAAAAAAAAAATTTCTTTTCCAATCTCATTTAATAACCAACATAAAACTGAATAATGCAGGTTGAAAAAGTGGCCATTTCTATAGACGAAGCCCATCGTAAGAAACTCTGGGGTTGTATTACTCTAGCAAACTTGTTTAAAAATCCTAACATCCTCAGTTTAAACAATTTCACAAAAGGTTGCAAAAAGCCTATATCCCTCTAATAATGTCACTTATCAGCTCCTCACAGGCTTCACATCCATCTAGAGACCTGTTACAATCATGTGAGCGATTCTATCTCGGCAGATAGATTGCTTCTCGGATTCTTGGAAAGAAGAAGTAGCTGTGCGATTTCTCAACAAGGGAAGTGAATGTACTTCCTGGAAACATGACTGTAATTCTGATCTTCAATTCCCCCCCC